CCATGGTTACCATGGCTCCATCACATTACCACAACCACTCACACAATAATGGTTGCAATTATCTTTATCATCGTAACCATGATTACCACCCCACCAACTTTACCACAGTCACCATCATCACCATCACCACCATGGCCTGTAGCAGCTCCCTCTGGCCATTTTGACCCACTTCCAGCTCCCTGTGTCTTTAAGGCCCCTTTCCTCTTATTTCTGGTGGGTTTTGCAAGTAAAAGGCACTACCTGGGGCTAGGAGGAAGGTGGGAATACTTAACCCCTGGTCCCTTCTCTGCCTATCAGGAAGCCTCCTTATGCTGTTCTGTCTGGATCTTGACAATGCTTCCTGACCCTCATCCTAGTGGTGCTAGCTATGGTGGCATCTCTTAGCTGCCACCGGCCCATGGACATATCATTGTCCTTACTGAAGCTCCCCATCTGGCCTGTAAGGAGCTCCTTACCACAGACTCCTGTGATGACCTGGTTGAGATGCTTTTATTGCCCCCAGGACCTGGCCCAGTCACCTGTTGCCACTAATGAGGCATCATCTTCAGCACTGTTCTTCCTTCCCTTTGAACTTCCTTCTGGAGATCTGCTGGGATTTCTAGTTAACGGGAGCAGAGATGAGCTGTTGGAACCCTGTCAGCCCCCCAAATGGGGGGAAATCGGCTCAGCAACACAAAATAGAAACTGCATGGGAAAATGGGAACAAACCCCAATAAATTAATCAGTGAAGGAAATTCAACTTCCAAGTTCCTGAAAGAATGAACATAGAAAACAGAGAGGAAATTAGCCAAGAAATAATGTGAGATTTTCCAGAGCAGGAGGATTCAGCTCCCAGATAGAAAAGGCCTTTGGGGTCCACAGTGGAGAGGCAAAGAATAAGCCCCAGTGCTGCATGAATCCAAAGGCCAAGAAATCCCTTTTCCTGAGGAGGTAAGGTTCCTGTTTTCTAGAATGAACACATTCTTTTTTCATTCTTTTCTTCCTTATTCTGCTGAGACATGTTTGGTAGGTGCTTTCGGAGAATGGCTGCTTGGGGCCAAGTGTCTGAGAGGTCATAGTGTGTCTATACTCTGCACACAGTGTGTGACAGCTCAGATGGGCTCTCTTGGAATTCTGAAGATGCTGATTTCTACTAGAATTCCTTTGCCTTGTGGAGCACTTTTATCTCTCATGGAGTACTTGATACTTTGACATCTGGCTCCCTCTGTGCTACCTCTGACTCTGTCATCACTTTCCTGGCAGGTGAAAGTGAAGATGGGTGGTGGTGGGGGCTGAGGAGGGCAGCTTGCTGTGGCCATGCACTGTGATAAGGGATTACAGCTATTCACCCACTGGTTCCTATCACTCACCATTGCTTTGCACTGGCAGAAGCTGGTGCTGGGATTCTACCCATATCATAGTGAAGGAAGCTGAGGCAGGGAGAAATGAGAGTCACCCAGTGAGCAGCAGATCTGGGTCCTTAGACCCTTGTGGTGACAGGGACTTGACCACATTCCCATGCTGCCTTGGCTTTCTCCACTTTGTCCTTATTTCTGCCCTGGTCCTGTCATCTGTGGTCTTGAAGACCCAAGCTGTCTTCTTTTCCAGGTGACTAGGTCAGATCTTCCCTCTCAGGTTCTTGCTTGGGTCCTGTTTGGCCCTGCAGCCTGTTCAGCTGTCCCCAATTGGGTGGCAGCCTCAGAGGTGGCCTTGGGGAGAAGGCACTTGTTGCATGCCTCGCAAAGAGCAGGATTTGAGTGGATGGCAGAAACCCACTGCTACTCAGAAGCTATGAGACCACAGTGAAATCCATGCACATGCTTGGCCTTAGCCCCTCAACAGTGAAGTGGAGGCAGAGCACCAGCACCCCAGGTGGCAGGTCTTGAATGGGAAACGAGTGTATACACACCTAGCTCAGGTGGGGGTCAGTAGGTGACAGATTGTGGTGTCTTCTCTGTTTGTCCCAGAGGAGAGGATGCCACACTGAGTGGAGCTGGGCAGAGGACTGGCCTGGTAGCCCTTTCTAGACCTGAGAAGAAAGTCTTTTAGGCAAGGAGTCTGCAGGGCTGTCCTACCATCCATGTAGTGAGCTGGTCTGGGGCTGCTTCTCTACCCAGTCCCTTCTCAGAGTGCCCCAGATGTCTGAGGTTCTCTCTGACTTCAGGGAGGAACCACTTACTGTGAGCATCCTAGTACCCAGCAATAACAATGCCTTGGCTAGCTTTATTCTGGCTGCATCAAGCAAAAACATTTAAAATCTTCTTGGTTATGCATAAGCGTGTACTGGAGAAGTAAAGAATAAACATGACTGGGGGCTAAGCTTCACACCACACCAGAAAATTTCAAATAACTTTCACAACTAGCAGCTGCTTTCTTCCTGCAGTGCCCTGTGCTCTGCCAGGCCCCTTCCAGGGCCCCAGTAGCTGAAAGTTTCAGAACCCATGGAGTTGATGACGTAGGTATCCCCTGCCAGCCCCAGTGGGCCCCTCCTTCTGTGACCTGTGCTTTCTCCCTGCATGCCCAGTTTCCTGTGGGAAGGGCACACACAGTCCATCCTGGAGTCCTCAGTGCGTGATTCTTAACCTTTCACTGGTTTGTCAGGCATGCACATGTGCTGGGTGACCATTGCTGCCCCCTCTTCTGAGTACAGGCTGCTCCCTCTGCATGGCTAGATGCAGTCCCTTGCACTGCCTCTTACACATTCTCCATCCCAGACTCTGAGTCTTTTCAGCTCCCTTGCCCAGATCCACCCAGACCAATAGAGTCAGAACTTTCTGGTGAAGACATCTTCTAAAAGTTCAACCAGGCAGCTGTCATGGCAGCTGGTGGGTTCTTGACACAGATGGGCTGGGTAGGACCTGTAAAGGAGGAAAGGCAGGAACCAGACCATGGTGTGCAGGGATTTCATGGGTTATCGCCCCAAGTGTAAGAATCTCCAGGTCCTCTGTCCCAGGCTGAACCATGGGGTCTGAGGTCACCCTTCTGCTCCTAGAACAGAGTTGTGCATAGCTAGGCTCCAAACTGAGCCCCAAACTGGGCCAACAAGTTCTGGATCAGAATATTCATTTCTGAATGTACCCAAGAGAAGACAGAACAAGGTATCCTGGCTGCCTGACCTCCACATTCCCAGTGGTCAGGGCATCCTCCTGGGATCTTGCCTTTCAGCAGCAGCAGTTACACAGCGTTTTGCTGTACTGGTTACTTGGGGTCACAGGAGTGAGTAGAGAGGGTGGGTGTGGCTGAACCACTGTCTGTCACATGGACAGGGAGGGCCAGACTGACCTGGTACCACAGAAGTCAACACCTGGCTGTGTTTCCCCAGCAGCCACTGTTGCTGGGCCTGCAATGGGTTGAATGGTGGCCCCTCTAGAAGATCCATCCAACCAGAGCCTCAGAATATGAACTCCTTTTGAATAAGGGCTTTTGCAGATGTGATTAAAGACTGAGATGAGGCCATTCTGGACTCAAGTGCCCAGTGATGGGTCCCTTATGAGGGACAGAGGAGATACACAGAGACCTACAAGGAAAGGGTTGTATGAAGACAGAGTCAGCAACTGGAGTGATGGTCCAAAGAAGGAATGGGCTCCCCCAAATCTCCAGAAGGTGTTGGCTCTTGGGCCTCCATCCTGGCCTCTGGCCTCTAGAGGAGACCTTTGGTATGGCTTCAGCACCAGGCTACTGGACTTAGTGATGGCTTCCTGCCCCGCTCACTGATTTGCTTTGATCTATGGAGTCCTTGAGTGTTCCTTGCCCTCCACACCTGGTCCTGGGAGCAGAAGGTGACAAAGGGTAAGCTTCACTCTCATAAAGGAAGGGATGTTTGGGTTGAGCCCTCTGAGGTTGGGAAGGCCCAGACAGGTGGAGGACTGAGCAAGGCACATTCTGGGAGTGAGGCACAAGTGCTGTTCACCCCAAAGGCATCATCCCCAGGTCCCGAGAGGAGGTTCCTTCCCATGGTTCTGGGTGTTGATGGTGCTGGTAGAGTAAGAAGAGAGGCCAGGCCCTGCCTGCCTCAGTGCTCCCAGGTAGAGCAGCTGGGTGCAGATTGTGCTTTTGCAGGATGGTTTTAACAAGCAGAGTGCTGTGAAGACAGCAAAACAGGGCCCTCAATAGAAAGTGACACGGAGTCTGCTGGATGGTGGGAATGCAGTGGTGGAGGAGGGGACATTTGGGCTGAGTCCTGAGTGATAAGGAGGAGTAAGCCATGCAGGCATCTGAGGAGGACTCAAAGGTGAGGAACAGCAGGTATAAATACCCTGGTATGGGGCACCTTTCTGCTTGCTCAAGGGACCAAGCCAAGGGCAATGGTGGCTCTCTGGATTCAAACCACAAAAGTACCACTACATGGGGCTTTCCAGGCTAAGCTGAGTCCTGGGCCTGTGGCAGTAACTGATCTATTGTCCTTGGCTTGTGGGGTTCACCATGTGGTGGGAGATGAGGTGCATGTACTGCTTCCAGGTCCAGGGAAATGCCAGATGGGGACATATGGTCTGTTATGGAGCCAAGGGCACTTAGGCCAGGCGGTGAGGGCTTTGCAGGGAAGGACCACTAGGGCTGGCCACATAAAACTGAGTGGAAGCAGCTGGCAGAGGCAGGGGTTCAGGTCAGAGGCCCCCAGTGAAAGGTGCCAGCTTTGTGGTATGCAACTGGTTCCAGCTCTTGACGGGAGGGGCAGTGAGTAGAGAAGGGAGTTAAAAGAAAAAGGGTGAGGTGAAGCCAGGATCTGGTCCACAGGTTTGGAGTTTGCTCTCCTTTTTCCCTATCTTTCTTTCCTCTCCTCTGCTTCTCAGCTTTTGCCTATGGGCAGATGCATCTCCCAGACCCAAAGGACCTAACAATTAGAAAGTGCCCTCACCTCCTTTGGGGCTTCTGTGGTTGTCCTCCTGTGAGTGTTCATGTGCATACAAGCCAGTGTGCACATGTTTGCGCATTTATGTGTCTGCTGCTGTCTTTGAAAGCCCCACTGTCCACGCATCCTGTACAGTTCACACTCTAATTATCAGATATTGTTAATTATGCAGAATCATCAGCAATTTGCTTTTATGGAGCCAGAAAAACCCAGAGCCTCGGGCCACACTCTGCTTGCTCTGCTTTCTGCAGTGAAGGTTCTGGTCCCATGACTTCTGCTCACTCTGGGTGAAACTGGAACGTGGTAGACACCCAGGCCTTGCTGAACCAGCAGCTTCCCATTCCAGGGGCAGGTGAGTGCCTAAGGGGAGGTGTATGCTATAGGTAGGTGCAAGCCCGGGGCGGGCACATGCTGCAGGGAGGTGTGTGTTGGAGGAGAGGTGAGCTGTTGGGGAGACATGTTTCAGAGATGAGGGGCATGTGTTGGGGAAAGGTGCAGAGAAGCATGTTCTTGGGGAGGTGAGGGAGGCTGCAGAAGGAATTTTTCCTGAGCCTCCACAAGGCACCTGACCACAGGACCACTTTTCTGCTCTTGGAAAGGCTGTGCAGGCTGATCCCTGCCATGCTGCCACAACAGAGACCTTCAGTCCCTGCTCCGTGCCCTCTCCTGTGGTCCCGCCTCACCACTACAGTTGCCTTGCCCAGCCTGGCAGCAGCCCTCAAGCTCACTTTTATTATACTGATGCCCTCTATCTCTTCCTCTGCTGCAGCAGCATCAGGGAGGTTGGTGCTTTCCTTTGGGGTGAACCCATTTACTGCAGGTGGTCCCTACACAAGACAGGTAGGCAGTAGCCCAGACTGCAGGTGTACAGGGTTGGGGCTTCAGGAAAATTGGACCCCACAGCTGGGAGGATGGGAAAGGCAGTTCCAGGATCAGCTTGGCCTCATCTCTGACAGGCCCTCAGCCTTCAGGCCCACTTGGCTGTCCCAGTTGAATAACAATTATTATGATAATAAATAACCTTAATGGTGCCACAGAGCAGAGAGGTGATAACAAATTACAACTAAAGATGTTTTCCTGCTAAAGAGACACAAAACCAAAGCAAGAGTGACAAGAGGCTGAGACAGGGCTCAGGAAGATGATTGTGTGTGTCACTGTGGGTCTGCTGGGCACCCACTCTGCAAGTGTGGATGCTGAGGCTGTGTGAGGCTGAGCCTTCTGCCTGAGGCCCCAACACTAGGTGGCTGTGGACTTGGGGGCAACAGGCATGGAGAGTGGTAGCCTGGGTCTTCCTGAGCCCTTAGCCTTCCAGGAAGGTTGAAGCATTTGTGGTTCATCAGCCACCTGAGCCCTCTGTGTCTGCCCTGACTGCTCAGTGTCCACCACACTTGACCCCGCTCAATGGCCAGAGCCTCTCAAGAGAGCTGCCACTCAGTGGGTTACTATGCCCTGCCATGATCTCTGACCTCCTGCTCTTCATTCTTCATTTCCTCTTTCAGGGCAATTCCTGAGGGTCCATATCTCTCCCACCATGTATCTGCATGGTGTCCTCCCAGGCCATGTGGCCAGTCCTCTCCCTGAGGCTATGGCCAATGTCTGTGCCCCAGTTCCACAGTCCTTTAGGGGGCTCCCTCTTTCCATACCTTCAATCCCCTTGAATTCAGGAGGCCTTTTGCTTTGTGTTGCATGTCCAGCACTGCCTGTCTTCCCCACATTTGCCCATGTGGCTGCAAGGGTGCAATAGTGCGCCATGTAGTCTGGAGAGTTCACCTCCGAGGGCCAGGTCAGTGCTCCCATGGCCCCATGAAGAGCTGTTGCCTGATCTCCAGAAAGGAAAGTCTGGAGGGACTCTTGGAGCCTTGCAGGACAGTCATAAGTAGGTAGCTGCCAAAGCTACTCTCCTGCTCAATAGTCTTCATGGCGCATGCAAAATAAGGTCCAGATGTCCTTGCTAGTGTTCAAGGCTCTTGTTGTGGCTTAGTACTCCAGCCCCACGTGCAGTCCCACTGTCTGCTCCCCACCCCAGCTAGGGTGCTCCATACTTGATCCCCAGGCTGGCTGCGCCTGAGCTGCAATCCCACACACCTCTGCAAACACTGCTCTTGGCTCCTCCCACACCTCCAGCCCCTATATCTGTTTTAAAGGTTCAGCTTGAGCCCTGTCTTTGAGAGGCCACTTCTTGGGACCATAGCTGTTCATGGCCTCAGGCCCTTGAAGGGGCTCCTGCAGTTCCTGCCCCCAGCTCTGTGTGCTGAGCCTGACCAAGCACACTGTGGGGAGCCAGGGGCCAGTGGAGGGATGCAGGAGCCCTGGCCCTATGTGGTTGACTCTGCTGGCCCCGTCACAGCTGTGTTTACCTCGCATGCAGCACCATTCTATCTCTGTGCAGAGAGCCTCAGACCAGCTTTGTATATGAGGGGATGCAGTGAGTTCCTGCTTTACCAGTGAGAGAGCAAGGCAGGGGAGGTGGTTCCTTTGGGGGTTCTGTGGTCAGGGCTGGAGCTGTGTTCCCTACCAGCTGGACAGGCAACACCCCTGCTCACCCTGATGTTGCCCACTCACTGAGATGCTAGTTGGCCCCTGCAGATCCTGGCATGTGGGGCCATCAGTGAGGGCACAGGCAAAGTCCTCCTGTACTGGACACCTAAGTCTATGTGTCTGATTTCTAGAGTGGCCATGCTATATGTTGGCCAAACTGGGTGCTTTGGAGAGCGAAGTGTGCTATTAATACTTATGCAGAAACAGATGCTGCGGGAGCTGCTGTCTCCTATTCAGCCAAGGGCAGGCTGGCACCAGTAAGTCCCGCTCCCAGCTCCACAGTTACAGCCTGGCCATCCTCCTCCATTGTCCATGGCCTGTCTGGGTGTTCTGCTCTACCAGACATGGGTTTGGCCCAGGCTGATGCTGCCTTCAAACCTAGTTGCCATAGCTGCTCCATCCAGTTGTCCCAGTTGCTGCACAGGGGTGGGGTGGGTTCACCCATCCAACGTTGAATGACTTATGTAATATGTCAACACACTGCCTAGGAGAATAGAGAAACACCACCAACGCCACTTTAATTACTCCTCTCAGATGAGGTAATGATCGTTAACATGCGCTGGATCTCATTAATTAACTCTCTGACTTTAATTAACTTCTCCCCTATTTCACCTGACATAATATATTATCACAAATGTCAACTTTGCTGAATGTTTCCCTCTTACAGCAAAATAAGATGCATCACATACATGTTGCATTTTTGACACTATGGTAGAAAGAAGTCCTTGGTGGGAAATGGACAGGCCACCAGCAGGACAGAAAAATATCTGGCTAGACTATGACATTTTCTACTCCTACTGTGAATTCACAATTGTGGTTGAATTTGCTCATCACAGTACCATGACTTGTTTTTTTAGAGTGTTCAAACATACTGCTAATCATAAGCATAACAACAGAACACCTGAGAACAGTAACACAATTTTGTTTTTGAGAAGAGAAGACACTTCTTTCCTGCCGTGAGCTCCATGAGAGCCAGTGGGGCATGGCGAGGGAGGGTGCAAGGTCAGCCCCAGGGAGCTTCTTCCATTTTCAGCTGCTTTGGGACAGTGTCCCTCTTGCAGTCCATATCCTGACTGCCAATGACCTTGGCACACCTTTGCAAAGCTGGCCATCACAATGGCACTTGGGGACACTTAGGCTGTTCCCTCATCATGGCCCACTGATCCCCAAGGTCATACTCACACTGTCCTAGTGAACCTCTTGCCCTAGCTTCAGTATCACTGTTAAAAGGTCCTTCTTGGGTCAGCTGGTCTCTGCCCCCTTGTGGACTCCTCAGCCATGCCTGGGTCCTTGGTGGCTCAGGAGGTAGCTAAAAGTTGACCTCCCTGAGAGTGTGGCCTGGGCTCTCCTCTTCAGTGTCTCTCCAGCCTCTCCATCCTGAGGCCAGACAGGGGTGAAAAATAAGATTGTAGGCTGGAGTGTGTCAGCTGTGGTCAGCCTAGTGATGGGCATGTCCTTGGTATGACTATGGAGCCTCCCCAGCAATGAGTGACACCTTTTGGGGCTGGGCATGATGAAAAGAACAAGTCCCTGTCCTTGTAGCTGGAGCACAGGTAATCAGCTAAGCCAAGAAACAATTAATTTCATACTTCAGTGGGCATTCTGGCAAGAGCAGCCAGCAGGCCGGGCCTTTGTTTAGTGAAGCCCCAGCACATCACCCTCAAATCATCTCTGCAGGGAGCTAGTGGTCGTTCTCACTCAAATGTGACCAGCCTCCCTCCCTTATTCTCCACACTCCACACGTATGTCACCCAGATACATATGCATGTACATTTGCACATATATTCACATACACACATGTATACCACACACCTTGCACACACATACAATACACACATGCATACCTACACACCACACACGTGTATACCACAACCATGTATGCACAGACATATACCATGCATACAGGCACACATGCACAGGCCCCCATGCACTGCACATATGTATAAGCACAAACCCACACCCACCTGTGCACATGCACATGCCACACATACCATGCATACACTTGCATGCAAGGCACACATGTGTGCACATGCTTAAGCATACACACGATCATATGCTTGTGTATACTATACAACCCTGTCACATATGCACACACAAGCACACACCACAAATGCACACACATGTGTACACACTCCACACGTGCATACACACACACGAGCACACACCTGTGTGGATGAAGGTGACCAGGGGAGGCCCTGGTGAGAATCTGGCAGGAGGTAACAGGCATTGGAAACTGGAACCACTGTGAGGCCGTGGAACGAGATAGTCCCATCACCCTGCCGGGGCCAGGACAGGTGATGGCTGTGAAATGCTCTCAGCCCTGGAATGGAGCTGCAGGGATGAACGGGAGGATGGTGTGAGCCAGAGCTGGGGAGATCAGAAGGGTGAAGCCTGTGTTCAATGAAGAGGGTACTGAGAAGCTGTGATCCCACACACCCCAGCAGCCACTGCACATGGGTACTTGGCAGAAGTGGAAGTCTTTGGCCTCTGGGAGGCACATCTCAGCCCTCTTGGTCCCCATGAACATACTGGTTTAGGAAAAGTGCATTCTTGGAGCCCGCAGCATGAATCTGGACTCTGTTGCTAGTGTGACCAGAGGTAAGTGGCATTTGGTCCCCATTTCTCTCTTTCACTGAAGTGTGCCAGACTTCTGGCTGTACAGCTTATTTCTTGGAGTCTCTGGCCCTGGGTTTGGCCTTGTGAACAGCCTGGGCACAGCTGCTAGCAGATAGGATGTGAGGCCACAATGAGCGTGATGTCTGGGCCTGGCTTTGCACTGTCATCTGCTGTTACTACATAGCTGAAAAGCCACAG